GAGCCTTATTTAAAAGTTAAAACAGCAAAATATGAACAGGTTTTTTTTTTTAAAACATCAAGTGGTTTGAAGGTTAAAGGTTGCCTTCTTAATTAGACCAATCTAATGAAGTGTAAAGAGAGTTAATTTCATTACAGTAGATGTTTATCAGAGAACGCTGTAGCTAAATTTAAAGAATCTCTTCCATCTTTATTTTCCTCTGTCTTACAGAATAATGTAACACAGAACAGTAACTTAGATGGTCTTGTTGATAATATTACAACTTTAATGCAAACTTATCTTAATGAAATTGCTCCACTAAAAAAGAAAGATATCGATCGGAGGAAGCCGACTCCTTGGTTTAATTCAGAGTTACGTTCTTTAAAACAGGCATCTAGAAAACTTGAGGGAAAATGGCGCTCCACTAACATAGAAGAATCTTATTTAACCTGGAGAGACAGCCTGCTAACCTATAAGAAAGCTAGAACTTTATATTATTAATCTTTAATAGAAAAGAATAAAAACAATCCCAGGTTTCTGTTCAGTACTGTAGCTAGACGAATGAAAAGTCCTCTCTCTGTTGAGCCATGTATCCCTATAACACCCTCAGCAGAAGTGTCTACACATACTTCATTGTCTGTGCTTTTGTCTGTAACATTAGCAAAATATCTTRTGAAACACTGGACCAATTTGAATGAAATTCAGAAAGTAATCACTGGATGTTCTTTATGTATACTGTCCTACCCATCATGCTGGCTTTGAACTATGGCAAGTTGGTGACAATTATATTTGGGAACATATACTTTAGTGTCATGTTTTTTGAAAATTGTCCTCTCTCTCTGCAATTTTCTGTTTGTGCTTCAGTAATAAAGACAAACTTCACCTTTATTCCTTTTACAGTCATTTACATGACTCAGTTTATATAGGAGAAATGACAATAATATGACCTTAATAAACGCAATATACTGGTCAAGAAGCTGTGAATAATTAGTTGTACATAAAGTACAATTTTGGACGAATTGTGCATAAAGTTATTCTGGAGCTCTGGGCCCTAATATGAAAATCCACCCACCCTTTGTAAACTTGCTGCTCTCCCCTAGCCAGTCCCTCCACTGTGGTGTCCTTGAGGATTGTGTTCACACCCTTGTCCACGGTCACCTGGGCAATGCCTGCTCCCATTAGACCCGCTCCCAAGATGGCAAGTGTTCTGCAAACAAACAAACACACACATAATACACAATCTAGCTGCCACTAATCACAGGCTCGGCTTTGTTGTCCCCAGCACAAACTTCAACAAGGCTGAAAAGGTCAGAAATAAGAAAATAAGGTGACAGTTGTCCCACATCCCTTCATGCTTACTTTACTTCTCTTTGAGGCGCTCCAAAGCGATTCTTCTTGCAGGCCACTTGACCATGATACAGACCAATCAGGGCTGCTGATTCGGAYGTTTTCGCCAGCTGACCAAAATTCTGTGAAAATATGTGGATATAACTGTCTGTTTACWGACACAAAGAGGTTGTTCAAACACGTTTAAAATGGTATTAGCTCAGTCAGATAGTGCTAAATACAGGTCTGAATGCTCTCAATGCACWTTGAAAACCTTTTTACTCAAGCTACCTTCACAGGTAGGACTATTTTTATCCATTTATGTTGGTAGTCTGAAAATWATCAGTTCCAATCCTCAATGTAGGATTTCCTACTGAACTGATGTGACCCCTCACATACACACACAAATACATATATAACATTACTAATAACTATGTAGCATTAACTAATACTATATTTCCAAATATGTATTGACTCGGGAGCTAATGAGAAAGCTAATAGGCTAAAGTGAGGTTCTCCAATCCATGAAACAGCTCTTTCCACATTTTCCTTTACAGGATGAGTCATGTCTACATTCTCCTGCCTGTCAACACACTCTGGTTGACAGAGGATTTGCGCTCAATATCTGGTTTCATTTAATATATCTGATCGTCAGACATTGTCCAGAATAAACCTTCCAGTTGAATAGAGCTCACAGCCTCACGTTAAAGGATTTAGTAATCATCATCGTTTACCCAGAATGCTTTGCGGCACAAATAACATGGAGCCGTCTGTGTGACAATATATATATTTTTAATTTATAAAAACTATATAGCCTACAGTGTTTTTACAGGCTTGTTTTAATAGTTGAAGTAAATATTTATCAAATAATGTCTAATGTTACAACTAGTCGGTAGGGTTACGTGGTATTAATAATTTTAATACAGCGGTAAAATCTTTAGAAAATACCGTGATATATGGTTACAGGGGTGGCGGTTGTGTGGTGGTCTATGCATGTTGAGTAAATATGTGCTCTGGATGGGATGTAGTGTAATCAAAGTGTATTACAGGACATGCAACAGGAAAGTTGTCTTTGGTTTAATGTTTGATTAAAGGGGCTGCTGTGGTCACTGGCAGCTAATGTGTTGTGTCAATAYGAACAACAGATAAAGCAGCATATTGTCGCATTATAGTCACCTAATAAAACACAGTGCTGGTTGTTGTGTTTACAGCAAAGCATGTGCTGCATCATGTCAGCATTGTGTTTCCCTGTGGTAGGTTTTGTGGGGTAGGCAGTGTACCACCAGGTGYGGACAGTGGTGTCAGAACTGACTGTTTCCAGGCAAATCGCCTAAAACTGATTGAAAAAGGTTTCATAACAAGTCTGAACAGCCCCTAATGATGCTGATGATGTAGACTAACAAACTTTACCTGAGACTCTGCCAAGTATCCAGCATCTGGGCCTTGTTCAATTCCAGTCTTCACACACTGGAAGGGACAACAAAGAGAAATAATCATAAATCAGAGATACATAACAACAGTTCAAGGAAATTGTTTCCATCAAAGGAGATTTGACTTACTTCAATTATTTTAAGGGGTGCTGGATAAAGTCCTTTGCTCTGTTTCATGACTTTATCATGGACAGTTTTGAAAAGTAGATTCCGTACAAACTCAAAGCTCATCCCATAGTCTTGAATTTCTACAAAAGGCAGAGCGTCAATGTTAATCAGAACAAAACTAACTTGGGTTCCAACAGAAAAAAAACACCAAATAAAGGCAGAAAACTTACTCTGCATCATGTTTTTCTGTTTGTGAAGGGAAATCTTCTTATTGGCTATGTCTCTGGCACATTCAACAGCAACTTCTTCCAGGTATTCAATTGTTCTTTCCTCTGGACTCTTCAGTCCAGGCCCTGGACCACAAACCACAACAAACCTTTTAATCATCTTGACTCAAAGATGAAAAGCTCAGTTTACTACCCCTACTTCCAACAGTATTTTAAGTATTTATTTAAAGCACTTTGKTGTTGAGTTTTTACCAAGAGGGTCTACAAGTTGGTGGACAAGCCCCATCTTCTTGGCTTTATCTGCCCTTATGTTTTTTCCTGTTAGCATCATGTCAAAGGCACTGGGAACTCCAACCTACAAGGTGTAAAAGCAGATGCAGGCAAACAGGCTAATTAATACAATCAGTTTGAGAAGCTGAAATCATTTCATAATAGCACCGAAACCTAACATAAGGGTCTGTCATTAGTCAGGACGTGTCAAACAGATATTCTTTCTTCCAAACCAAATTTTCAGTACTTTCTTTCTAACAAACATTCACATTCGCTGATGTCCCCCCGTCGTCATTCATTACTGACCMACTGTTAGCAGTTTTGTTGGAATCATCACACAGGTAATTATTATCCACCATGGTGAATAACAGTTACCACACTTTTCTTCGTATTGACTGAAGAGAGGACTAGTGTCAGATCATTGAAAATGGGGGCAATTACAAACAAGAGAAACATAATTTCAGTACCAACCAATTTAGGTAGTCTTTGTGTCCCACCAGCTCCTGGTAAAAGACCCAGCATTACTTCAGGAGTACCCAGAATGGTTTTCTTGCTCTTTGTTGCAATTCTGTACTGGCAGGCAATGGCGAACTAAAACACACAAAAAAGCCCATTACAGAAGACATTTTTAATCCATTCTCTTTAAACAAAAAGTATTTTAATTTACCTCCAAACCTCCTCCTAAACAAGAACCATTGATGGCTGCAACAATAGGCTTCGGGGATTTTTCAATCTTCTCAAACATCTTCTGTCCTTCCTGAGAAAGTTTACTAACTTCTTCCGCACTCTTGCAAGCCTGAATCATACTGCAGGTGTACAAGTGAGTGTTTTAATACTGTAGATTCTATAGTAATTTCTAAATACTATTATGAAAACAAAAAATGAAGAAGTAGTTAAATCTTATGTGTCTTACTTAATATCAGCTCCTGCAATGAAACACCCTGGCTTTGAGGAGATGAGGACAGCACTTTTAACAGCATCATTGGCCCACACTTCATCCATAACTTCTGTCATCTCCTTTTGCATTTGAATGGACAGTGTGTTAACCTGGAGGAACACATGACAACAAAGGTCACATTTGCTCTTCTGAATTCAAGAGAACCGACTTCAGATTTGCTTCAGAAGAGCCCACACCTTGGAGTTTGGGTCGTTAATTCGGACAACGGCAACATCACCCTTGACTTCATAATTCACATGGGTTCGGGCTAAAAAATAGACAAAGAAGAGTGAAAATAGAGCAGTAGACTGGGAGGCTAAGCTAATCACATATGGTGTAGATCTTTATAAATTACCAAACATGGCAGAAGCTACGGAGAAGGTTCGAAACGTAGGGCCTGGGGAAAAAAAAGGCAGCACAGTGGAACATTAATACAGTTGTGATRCATGCTTTATTACTATTAACACAAATAAAAAATTGTACTATTTACACCTACAAATTCAAGGCCTAGTATGCCTGTAAGAGGCATTTGGCACATTGACCACTGCCTTTCAATTCAATTCAAATTCAAACGCAAAAGTTTTTCTCACGCAAAGGTTTTAAATTGGCATCAGCAAGAGAAGAGGGGACAGAGTACAGGCCTTTTGGTCAAACCTTGAAACATGTTATGCACAATCCCAAGTGAATTGGTGGGATCTGTTGGTACTTAAAGTGTTATAACTCTCAGCTACACATCCAACTGTAGCCCAATATTAGTAAAAATTGACTGAGTTATATCCATTCCTGTGTTGGCTCAGATCAGTTCACTGTGATGGCCAACTTGAAGTGAGTTGATTCCAAATGCTCTAGAGTTGAAGCTGAACATTAGGGGTGTAAGAAAATATCMATACACTGAAATATCGCGATATTTCATTTCCCGATACTGTATCGATATTCTAAAGCCCTGTATCAATTTTTAATTAAGGTTTAAAATGTCAGCCTTCTTGCCAGCCATTCACCTTTATGTTGTAGTTCAGCCTCTGACCACTAGTTAGCAGCAGTGAGCCAGACATTTGGCTCCTCTACTTCTTGAGCGCCAGAGTAAGGGTAGCATTAGCATTGTGAGTAAACATTAGCTTTTCTTTTTTTTTTATTTCAGTAAGAGGTTTTTATTTAATAGAATTTTTGGACAAAAAAAATCACAATATATTGCAGTATACTGCCTTGCTTACAGTATCGCAATATATCGGGATATATCGTATCGTGACCCCTCTGTTATGATATGTATCTATCGCCAAATTCTTGCCAATACACAGCCCTACTGAACATCCAACAACTACTTTTTGAAAGTTTCATTGAAACCCATCCAGTGGTTCATGAGATAATGCTTAATTTTAAAAAGCAGATTTTTTTTTTGGCAATTATGCTACTAACCCACCAAATTTGAGCTCAATTTCTGTAAAATTGATAAGAGTTACAGCCACTTTTGAGTTTGCTTAAATCACTTAGATGTGGCAGCCATCTTCAGTGGGATTAGCTCCAGAAGTAACCAGGTGTAGATGTAGATTAAGTGATTAATTCCTGAGCTTTTAAATAAAATCCATCCCCTGGATTATGAGATATTTTGCAAACATGAACATGAGCAAATACATTATCGACTTTTGACGGCGGGCGATAGCAAAAAAAAAAGGGTTTAAAATAATTTCATAATATGAACATCTGATGTGTTTATGATATATGCTCACAAGACTGCTACGACATCAGCCGCCTYGGCCATTCCAGGCAATCTGACAGAAAGATGACCCTTCACCTACTTTCTGCCTCCTACTCTGCACACAGCGGATAGCACAATGGCGAATGAATGGCAAATACTTCAAATCCTCCTATTAACCATCCAAATAGGGTTTTATAATGGACGAAGTTTGGACCTTAAGCAAAACAATTTATCCAAACTTTTATTTTTTAAAACCGGACTCTCTTGGCTGTAAATGTTTCCATAGAATCGAGATAGTAGCACAAGTAAAAGGATTACACTTAAGTTCTCTGCTTATAACAAAACGGTTTTAAAGTTATTATAATTTTATGTTCAAGTTGTTAAATGTATAGTTGAAACATCAAAATACCCGTGTTGTGACATACAACACTACAGTACATTTCTACACAAGATTCTGGCTACTAGCTAATTTAACCAGCTTTGAGGCTAATTATCCTCGTAGAGCACATTGCTATCCGCGAATTTCCCTACCTACTCGCACACGATTTTATTATTTTTATTTAAAGACAAAATTAGTGGACGCTACCTGTAATGAGAGCATACCGCCTTGCTGACAATCTAGAGAGAACACCAAAGGCTCTAACACCAGCCATGTTGGAAGCGGAGGTCAATCTGGAAGTGCTAGCCTAGCTAGCTGCCCACTATCACTGCTGCTGCAGAAAGGGACGTTGATTGGTTGTCTTTCAATAACGTCGCATTTCATTGGTCGTTTCAAAGAACTCGTATCTAATTGGATGTTACGAGTACACGCTCTATTCAAGTCGTTCAATTTAAACGTGCTTTAATTTTAAGCCATAAAGTTGGTTATCCTCCGGTTATTCCATATAACTCTGTTTTAAGTGTATAAAAAAAGAAAACTCTGGTATATTTAATTATATATTTTTTATTCAATTCGTTTAATCAACCGATATAGGTATTGCTGAAAATTGCATTTGCAAGTTTACYGCATATCTCCCGTGACCAGCTATGGATGGATGGAAGTGTAGGACTACTAAAAAATATCAAACATCTGAAATAAAACAAACARTTAGTTGCAATAGCAACATGGTACCACAAGATAGAGGCAGAATTCAGTTTGTTTGTATCAMGTACACAACGCACACTCCAGCTCCCATATAAGGATTGTAATTTAAATAGACTAAATTAATTAGTTCTGACAAACACCAACAATAAAATACAGTTTTTACATTAGTATATAGCTTAGATTGCATTATGTTTTGCATGATCTTTGTGATTTCGAGTAGAAATTGAGGTAAAAAAAATACCTCCATAGGAAATTCAATGCATCTAGGCCTATACATTTTGAAATAAATTACAACATATTTTTGTGTTATAATTGAACATTTACCACATATTAATATGCATTTTCCACTTGACATTGTTTAGGGGGGAAGTGCTTAAACAGGGTTATTCCATAGAGATTATATACAGTAATCTTGTTTTATATTATAGCCTATCTATGCGTTGATCAGAGCACAAGTATAATATTACTTTAGACGTCACATTCATACTGGTTTGACCAACATCGTCTAAAAACTAAAACAATACATATTTTAATATAGATTTGTCAGATTTTGAAGATGTATCAACAATCTGATTCATCCATCCATCCATCCATCCATCCATCCATCCATCCATCCATCCATCCATCCATCCATCC